CGGGGTCAAACCAACAAAACGTTGCACGGCAGCCGGTTACGCAGCAACCGCGACAACCGTATAGAAGATTGAATTATATTTGTTTAACCTTCTCAATTAAATATATTTATACTTACATCTGCACTTTATTTAGATTATCAGTACATAAACTACCAAAATAAAATACTTTTTAAACATAGGTACCTAATATAGAATTGTCGGTCAATCTGAAAGACAATGAAGCTGCAGTAAGACTACGACGCTGGTAGAAAATCATCTTAAAAATACAATAAGCTCTTGATACTTAATAGTTTTGTAAGAAGAAGAAGAAGTGTGGGAGAGCCATGCTTCGGCACGAATGGGTCGGCTCGACCGGAGTGATACCACGGCCTTACAGAGAAAACCGGCGTGAAATAACCACTGCGTTGTGTTCCCTCCTCAATCCCTAAATCTCCAAATCCCTAATCCCTAAAAGGTCGGCAACGTAACTCCTCCGTTGCGAGTGTCCATGGGCGGCGCTGATTGCTTACCATCAGATAATCCGTCTGCTCGTTTGCCGACCTATTACATAAAAAAAAGAAGTTTTTTTCTTAATAAGATTTCAATAAAATTACATTCCTTGTAACATTAAAAAGAAAAAAGGAGATTGCTTTTGATGACAGGATTTTCTTATGATAGCAGTGTAAATCAAATGATTTTGACGTTAAATAATCCATTCATAACGATGACAAAATCGCTGAAAGTTTAAACTGGCAGCATTGCCATATTATAGGGCAATAACTCTGTGACCGAAAAAGTTGCCAGCCTTGTTGATCGCGTGAAGACTCGACTAAACGGCCAATTTCTTTAAAGACCCTTGTTTCAAGTGTTTTGACTACAAGCGGCTTACAACAGTATTTTTGTAAAACTTATCCGAAATATTAAAATGTTATGACGCTATAGCTACTACATATGTGAAAGTCGTTAAAATTATAAATAAATCAATAAGTTCCCTTGTGTTACTGTCACCTTGCAAACTGGAATTTTTATATCCAACTTCGTACGAGTATGTGCATTTATTAACAATTTATTTAATACTTTTTAAGCATTCAAAGTTACAAGATGTTTTTATTTGTTTCTTTGTTTTATTGAAATTTATAGTTCAAAAACTTAAAACAACCAACCAACCCGTACATTTAGGTTGTTAGCCCAAGGTTTCATCCAGCTCGATGCTTCCATAATATTGTACATATGGTCATTTGATCACAAGTCAAGTTTCATGTTCATGATAAAACAACAATGAAAAGTGTGTGAAATTCAGGTTCTTAGATTTTATTACATAGTTCGTTAGAGGTTGACATTACAAAAGCGTCTTTAAAAACTATGTGTTTTCTAAATGTAGGTAATTTTGATTATCCTTAATTAGATTTTTTTAAGATAGAGTTCTAATATAAGGTTATGTTAGAATTCCTAGATGCGATACTATCCCCTGGCAACATGATTGAAGACATAAGAAAGTTTGCTGCCTTTTAAATTTATGGGTCTCACTTGAAGGACGAAAGGCAACAATTGTTTCATCTTTTGTTAAAATAGAAATGACCAGTCGATAACCACCTACCTACCTATTCGAAGCTACACAGCCATATGCTTTATTCTCATGCCTTTCAATGTAATGAAACTTTTCATTATCTGAGTAATAAATGTTCAAAATGGCATTATGACTTGTTTTTTACCACTAATCTCAATGACGTGACTCTTAACAATGCTTCTCTTAAAAAGACTATTAGAAAAAATAGTTTATTATAATGATACTAACGTGTAAAATGTATCCGCGTCTTCGCTCGCCCGCGTGTTATATTGATAAAACGCTAAAAACTCTAATGTGTTTATCCAGGATATCATCATCATCATCATCATCAGCCTATAAGTGCCCACTTCTGAGCAAAGGCCTCTTCTCACACAGAGAAGGTTTGAGCATTAATCACTACGCTTGCTCAATGCGGGTTGACGTTATCAAACTTATAATCACATCACGATGTTTACCTTCACCGTATGTCAGTGGTGTCTAAATAATCATAGAAAGTACATATAACTCGGAAAAAATCACATTGGTACTTTCCAGGTTTCGAACCCACATGCTTGAGAAGCGGGCGCCGTAACCTCGGGGCAACCACGACCTTTTTCAGGATATCACCCATCTACATAACAAATTTCAACCAAATCGGTCCAATTGTTTTTGCGTTAAAAAATAACAAACATACTTACATCCATTCATTCTCACAAACTTTCACATTTAAGTATAATGTTAGTAGGATTATTTAAACATGACTTCGAACACATCGATTTCCTTATACCTACTTAAAGCTATCCGTTATCGATTAACAGCAATTTTATTGAGAGCCAACGGTTTGTAACTAGCATTATCAAGCTTTGTAGTACACTTTATGGGCAGTAAATACGTTTCCCGTAAAGCGAATGTTTTTACACTAAAAATATAAAATGTGGGACAGCTTTAAGATGGCGTATTGTTTCATATTATATTTAAGAAATATTAATTTTCATTCATCGTGTCGCGGTGGCCCGGAGTTTACGGAGCCCGCTCTCATGCATGAGGGCGTGGGTTCGAAACCTAGCAAGTACCAATGTGACTTTTGCCGAGTTATGTATATGTACTTTCTATGATTATTTAGACACCTACGGTGAAGGTAAACATCGTGAGGAAACATATACTTATAATCTCTAATTATAAGTTTGAAATTGCCAACCCGCATTGACTCAAACCTTCTCCGTGTGAGAAGAGGCCTTTGCTCAGCAGTGGGCTGAGCTTATAGGCTGATGATGTGATGTGAAATTTTCATTTATATTAGCAGTGTACCACAGTTTATTTTTGTTGTTCCTTTTTTAAGCCTTTTAGGTTTCAGTCAGTCCGTCTTGTACATTAAATTCACCGAGGACAGTACAAAGTATTACGTGTCTCCGCAAATAATATTTTCCAAATTATTTCATTATCGGATTCAAGCTATTCATGTCCCTAGAACATTCTGCTTATATCAGAGTTTCAGTATTTTCATGTTTCAATTGGGGAGGTATTTAAAAAAAAATACAACTTCGTAATAAACATGACTACACGGTTGATCAGATAATTCCTAATCTGGATAGTTCATAACACAATGAACACATTTAAAAATTAAACAAATACGGTTAATTATTAAATCATTTTAGTGTATTAAATATGAGATTTGTTAAATTTATTTAATCTTTATAAAAATGAAATAATGATTACTTGTTTATTGGTTTATAGTTGTTGTTTTTTCTGGTTGTTATAATTTTCAATCAAACAAAAGTTATATTTATTACTTTTCATCGTCGCCTTATCTCGATGATTAGGCCACATCCCGTCCTAAGATTTTTATATCAGTTCCTGATATTGTAACAGGGAATGATAGTCTAGTAGTCTTTCTACAGTTTCCTTCTTTTCTTTTTCTTCCACGTTTCCTATTTAATAGGTGCCAAGATTAAATAAGTTTTTAAGAAGTGTGAAAATATTGTCTATGATTTTGTTTTTTTTTAAATTTCACAGACCGTTTTCTTTCGTAAATGGAAACTAGTGTTAAGTAAAGACCACTTTTCCATACGAATAGAGATAAATGCTTATCATACAAGCTGAAATGCATAATGATAGGTATTTCACCAGTTATTTTACGACTTACATGTAAAAGGGGAGGGATATTAGCCTCCTCTCTCTGGGAAATTATTATCATTAGGACTTTTCCTGACCCAAAAACAAGCCTAAGATGTTTTGCTTGCCAGTAGCTTTAATGGCTATAGGGCAGTCGCTAGTCAGATGTTTTATGACATTTCTAATGAAATATTATGGCCTTTGGAAAATAATTATGTGCTTGCTGCTCGTAACATTTTCTAAAACCTCTCAAGAAGGTGTTTTATGAAATAAAACTACGTTTTATAATATATAAATATAGTTTATAATGTTATTTCGTGTTCCTCAAATATTATGTGATCTTTTTGCAAGTTATTTCTACGTTTGTATCGTGTGTTATTTGTCTTATGGTGACCACTGTTTTTACATTATATTTGTTATACTACTGTTCCCGTAGGTGTCGCGAAAACCAGCTCAGGGACTATTTACGAAGACATTGACGATAACAATGCACTCTGATAAACCAGTCATTTTTTATCTAGGTACAATACTCCAACCCCCTCGGCCTGTCTCTATAATAACTGTTAATGTAATAGGAAAACAAGCCTTTACAAAACATCGGATCATAATTGTAAATTCTTAGCCGGTATTTCACAAAAAAAAAATCCATTTAGAAAAAAAATATCTTAAGGCATACAAAGATAGAATTTAATTTCCTTGTGGCAGTAGAGACAGTCACACAAAAATTTTAAATGGTTAAAATACCAAATATTACGTACAGAATACCTGTGAGAAGACAGTATTTTTCAAACGTTGGCATGGTTAGTTTCACTTTATAGTAAATGTACTTTATAGTTTGTAAAGTAATCCCTGGAAGTTTGTTGTTTGGCTCCATTGTCATTATCGACCTTTCAGGACTTATACTCAGCTAAATAATTTCCAAAATATTGAGTTCAAAGAAATGATCATTTTTGGTACACAATTACACATTCGATGTATGACATTTCCGCAGGTGAAATAGTTTCCTCTCAATACTCTTATAGTAACAAAAACGCGTCTTTAGTAAAACTAAATTGAAAGAACTTATTAACCTGTCTCATTACAAGACATACCAATTAGTAGTTTTATTAATATTATATGTATTTATTGATAAACTTTTTAAGACATTCTATATGTGGAAATGATCAGGTCCAAAAGACTACTTACTAAATCAGTAAGTAAAGGTATTACATTTTCAATGGTTTTCAAAACTTAAAAAAATTCTACTTAGATATCTATTAAATGCCTTTTCGTTCCTCTATAAATATACAATTTGCTAAAACTAACGATTGCTATGGAGAAGAAAATATAAAAGACAGATTTTTCATTAAAATTAGTGTCTGACCTTTTATGTCCTCCGAGGTGACGTCGTGATTTTCTTTGTTCGCCTGGATCTTCTCAATGAGATGCTCCAGCCGACTACTGTTGCCTTTAAATAGCATGATCATATCTCCAGAAGCTTGGAGGCTCCCAATCCTTGGAGACGCTCGCACATCCAAGTCGCGTACTCGGGCTTGTCCTTCACGTCCGCTGATTGCCGCAGGTGCATCGGTTCCAGTTTATTTTGGCATTTTTTGCGGGTGCATTTATGCGAGTGCGAATTAATGCGCGGCGCGTGTCCGACAGGTGCCACTAATTGAAGGGGGCGCCCGTCGCGGGCTGCGCTTCGTGCGCTTCCTCCACGCCAATTATTTGGGTGCCTGCTGCCGATCAACTTAATTAGCGACAATCATGCACGGCACGCACCTTTATTTCCTGATTACAGGTGCCTTCGAATTCGAGGCCAGTGTCGTCCGTATCGGTGAAATGATATAATGAGGGAGTAATGTCCCGCTGGTGGCGACGTGCTCGTGCCTCAGTGCAGTGATGCAACGGAACGCGCGCCGAGACCGGCGTGTGGTGCGCGACTGCCAAGAGCCGAGCTCCGGTGGGCGAGTCGCGCCCGACCGCCAGCACCGAGGTGCAGCACCCTGCGCCCCGCCTGGCCGCCCCGCCCACACGACCTCCCCCCCACTAGCACCCACTCCCTTTTTCTAGTTTTAGAAAATCTCTTTCTCACAAATTTTATTATACCTACTTAAGTATTTTAGTAATTCGACTTTTAGATAACTTGATGAGAAAGTTAATTATCTGACGTTTAGGTGTTTTTATTACAGTTTGAAAGTTTTTATAACAACCAACAATAAGTAGGTACTTAGTAGAAATAATAAATCTAACTAGAGGGTGTTTCAATATTTAAAAACAACTTCAGTGAAACTCGTATGAAAAGGAGAGAATTGATAATTGAAATATCAGCTGACAGGGATGAGGACAAGTTCAAGAAGTCCCCAGGGTGTACAGCTAATCAAACATCGTACATACATTTGCCTGACAGTTGCGTATACGGCGCGACTCGAGTAATGAGCCGAATGACAGGAAAATGACGCTAAAAGCTTTTCAAATCTAGAGCGTCGAAGGAAAACTGGTTTTAGATTTTCCTCGTTCCACCCACGGCGTGGGCGCGGCCAATGGGCGCCGGCGCCCCGCGCGCCCTCCCTCCGCTCCGCGCCACTAGACTTCGCTAAACACAATGCACTCCGCCAAATACTTTACTCTATGTAGGTTTTTTACTACTTTTTGTGGACGTTTCTTTGTCGAGGCCTCTTTGTAAACCTTTTAGCTTTGTGGTAGCGACAGAGAATTAAATTCAATCAGTTTGTATTGTTTAAAAATGGAGATGTAAACACAATGCTAATGCGGATTAAAGTATGATTTAAAATGAGAGCTAGTGATGGTCACCGCGCGTCCGCGGATCGCTCCTCAGGGGGCGATATCTGCGGGCGACGGTCGCGCCGTTGCCTTTTAGTTATGCATATATTAGAGGGATTACGCGGCCTACACCGCAGCTGTTGTAATTTAACGGATAAACTCGAGAAATATCCTCCTGGAAGTATCCGCCAGACTCGGGTTGGCAATGAGAATTCTGTGGGGACAGAGAACTAGTATCATGAACAACATTGGAACTATCAACTTATAATAATGTTACTTGTCTTCATTTTTTAAAAATATTTTGTTAAATTCGTGTTTAGTAACAACATATTATGTAGAAATTATTCTAAAATCAAACTTTACAAGTGGTGGCCCGGACCATTTTTTATGCATGAGGGTGCGAAACCTGGCGAAAACCAATGTAACTTTTTCCGAGTTAAATGTAAGTACTCATCTTAAGTGGTTTAAACTGCTAATTTTAAATTTTATAATGACATTCCGCCTTTAGCAAACATGGCAATTAATGCTCAAACCTTTTCCGTATCAGAAAAGGCCTTATGGCTCAGCAGTTCACTTACTTATAAGCGGATGTGAAACTTTACGATTACTAAGTTTGCCTCATCGTTTTGTTTTCTTTTTCCTTTCAGAACGTTTGCTAGAGCAAATGCTCCAAGCAAGGAGCCCCTATCGGATTTGTTTTTCTACATATAACAAAGCTAGTACGTTCCAACGACGAATTGAAAACGAACATTTGTAGGTACCTTATCCTTTAACAACATAAAATTACGAGTAATTTGACAACCATCGATCCACCACAACATATTCCCAAAACGCTGAAATACCCAAACAACACACTACGAACAGATCGAAGTACCTACATACAGCATAAACAAACACATTGTAAACAATCACGTATCTATTCAATGAAGTCGTACATTTCATGTGGATTACAGAAACTTGACAAATTAATGAACATCAAATATGTATAAGGCATTCGCGGGTTAGGATTGACATCGAGTTGTCGGGTGCCCGCCGCGCCATCGTCCGCTGCAAAAGGGTTAAACATTAATACTTAAGCGAGCCCACCTCACTCCTGACGCGGCCGATTACTCTGTCACTGAGCCAAATCTCCGGCCCTGAATAAAGTATTATGAAAAAGTGCTTCTTATCTACATTGCGACGTTGCCAGCTACAATTTGATGAGGGTCTGAACACTTTCAGGTGTTATTGCTCATTCTTTGCTTTGTTTCGTATTACGGTAGGTACTTCCCTACTGTGACTAGGGTGTTATGTTTGCGTAATTCTTTAAGGTTAGTGATTGATGGAATGAAGCTAAATAAAACGTTGGTACATTGGTGAATACTTAAATATGTTAAGTTCGCTTTACACCTGAACATCACTGTCTATCTTTCTTTCATAATGTAAAAAATACGAATTAAAGTAAAGTACATCTTATAAGAAATACTTCATCATCATACCATACCATTACCACGTCTATAATTTGACAAAAACCCACAAATTGGCGTAATAATAACCCTTTAGTAATCTATATAACGCGTAAGTCTCCCTACAATAACAATAAGGGTATAATTTACCCGAATTCCCGACAGATACCGAGCGAACGCGGCTACACGAGCTTCTTGAATATTTGATGGTGATCTGACTGCGCCCCTGCTTCTTCCGAACTTACTCTAATGTTCAACCCTTGATTTGTATTTGGACGTTGTGAGTCGTGAAATCTATCCGCTATCGTCTCATTAAACTTTTATCGTCTGTTTACCGATGAGAAAACAATGATTTGTTTTAAAATTATTCCCTATTTAGGTGTGATTTATTTTCTTAAGTTTGCGCTTTACTTACAAGTTCTGTTAAGTACCTACCTACATGTTGCATAAAACAAAGATATCAACGAATAAGCAAATAAAAAATTAAACGCCAATTTGTATGAATACCACAACAAACACATGCAACATTAGAAAAAAAAAACAAATATTTTTTACATCGGTATTTAAATATTTATTTCCGAGCATGACGTGGCGTTGTCAACAAACACCCAAATATTTTTTCTCTGTACCTGCGTCTCCCGGGACCCGGCGGAGTGGGACATACGTCTGTTCACGTCCTAATAAATCAACGGGACAGCCGTCATTCCGATGGATTAGGCACGTCCCTATTCTCCCCTTTGCGTCACTTTTTGCGTCACACGCCTTTCGTACAACTCTATCACGAGCTTATTCAATTGTTACTTTTGTTAATGCTTTCGAAATGATGATTAAACGGTTTCATTCATGTGTTACATTCGGAATTTTTGGACATTTAAAGGTAGATATGGAATCGATTACTGAGGTCTTTATAAGTTATACTTACTATAGTTAAATTAGTTAAGAAGCAAATACTGATTACCATAGCCATAACACTCTGTAACGTGATAGGTAAAGCTGTAAATACAGTAATGAGTTTCAAATTACACAAAGATCATTTTAAATACAAAAACTGTGGAAATTGAACCCCTGCTCTAATCGGGTAATAAAAGAAAGCTCGAAAGCTGTTTCCTTACCCTTCTTGAACCCTTAATTTTAATACAAAGGGTAGTTTACGGTTTATTTAAGCGATAATTCGGAACGGGTCTCAGTCATCGGAAGGCGTAAAATGAAGGCCACACAGGACAAACAAATCGATGGAGGGTGACGTTTTTTGGGTAGATTGCGGAGAGATAGCAGCGGCAGGGTGGTCCGCCCGTGATACGCCACTTCACCCAACACAACGACCAATTTTTTACAACTTGTTTAGCTAAGAATTAGGTAAAATATTCTAGTTTACGTATTATAATGGATGTCTGACGTCTCTGCATATGTTCGCAATAAAACGATATTTCCGTCCAAATGATAGCTATGCTAAATTAAGTACGTTTAGGTACTATGGCGTAACTTATACACATACATGTCTGTCTGTCACTGTCACGTCATCATATTTTATACACTGTAACGTCAAGTCATTTCATGTCATATGAACTAACAAGTGCTCAGTAATACCTTATATAGGTATTACTTACAAGGTGCTCGTATACCATACCTACTTATTTGTCGACATAAATATTTAACCTAATTACAAAAATGTACTTGAAAATTATATGACTGTTGAAGGGAATTAAGGAACGCCCAAAACCTAATGAAACAAACAAGAAGCTAAATAGGAATAATTTTTGAAGATTATTCCAATTTTTTAGGAATGAAAATCATCGAATGACTTCTATTACCTAGGATATCGCGAGAGGGAGTGTTAGACTCTTTGTGATTGAAAACTGAAGTTACAATACTCCGTGAAGTTCCATCGGCTGTCGAGGACGAGACCCAGGTACTTCATCGCCGACTCGACGCCGATGGTAACTCCTCCTGCCGTTATTTGGAACCCACCTGGAGCTCTTTGATGCGTGCGGGGAACACTTCGTTTGAAAAGCACCTTAGAGATACAAAATATGTCCCTAAAGTGGGTGACGAAATATACAAGTTTAAAATTAAAGTGTCAAAATGCCGACACGGGCGTGTAATGTGTGTAATAAACACTGGCGGCTACAAATGCGACCGCTTGATACAATCTGACACGTTGCTCTAGTGGTCCAAGACCGTCGCTTTTAACACTTCTTTACTCACACGGATTCACACTTTAAATTTCAAACATTCTTAAATACCGCGTTACCGTT